ACGTATAAAAGAAAATCCTGTCACCTGAAGAGATATATTCTAATCCATTAAAGATGTTCTTAACCAAGCCACTTGCCTTTATACAAGACAGTAATTCATCTCCAGAGATACTTTAAAAGGCAAATTGATACTGATAATAAATCAACTGATATGTGGGTCTACCGTGGTTTGTATATAGTGGTGTGGCATGCAATATGAATTTCAAGTGTTTATTTTTGCCAGTATGACATCTTTGGTTTTTTTTTTTTTTTGGTAAATGTAAACTTAATTTCTTATTCCTTTTGCTTATGTTTAGGTTCTTTTGTAAATAAACTTCAAGACTTAGTTCTGTTAAATACCACCTGGAACAAGCACTATAGGATTGCATGGATTTATATTTATAAAAGCTGTATATTAGTATTTTTCTTAAATCTATCCACAACTACTGTCTGCCCTCCTAATTGCATCTTGTAGCTCCTTTGTTGTTTATATTGGCTTTTACGTGCTTGACAATTGTACGGTACTGAAATAAACATTGAGTTTTGGAAATAATTTTCCTTACATGTAGTTAGAAAATTATCTCAATGCAGTGAAATACAGGTAGAATTTCCATGTGAACTTGAACCCACTTATAAATTTTTCCTTTATAATCAGACCTTGATGAAAGTGAGTCTGTTTCCATGGCTCATAGAGAAGACAGCGCTGTGACTTCTAAATAACACATTAGTACATAATAAGAGTTCACATCTAGTTAGCATTACGTTTCTCTTTGAGACTAATCAACAACGTGATAGAAATAAGAACATTTGGAGAGCCTTAAAAGTAGATGTTAAGCAGCGATTCAAGAATGAATGTGGTAGCTGGTAAGTGTTGCTTAGAATCAACTTGTAGTTCACTGGAGTTTGTGAACTTTTAAACAACTATGATAGTAAGCATAATTTGACTTGGCCTCATGGCAACCTAACCACATAATAAAATTGTTGTAAAGCTCACTTGTTTTGCAAATAATATGAAATTGGTACTTTAACCAACCACCTGCAGACTAGAACTTGGTTGATGACAGATTAGTGCTTATAACGGGTTATGGGTTCATTTTCCAGAGAGTAACCAGATTGCACCCTTTTCACCCCCAGCCAATTTACTCACAGGTAGATAGCCTATACAAAAAAAAAAAAACCTTGGCGGCTATGGATGACTGACTGTATAAATAGTATAAAACTAGTTCTACCTGGAAATGGTAAAAATGGAGCTGGGAATTGATTTTATAAAGATTTTTTAATTCTAATTAAATAAGAAAGAGTATAGGTTTGTCTTTTAAGAATTTAACAGAACTACAATTGTACATATTCTTGATGTTTTGAAATTGAAGAATATTGTATGCCTTCCTAAGAAAACTGAAGTTTTGGGTATAGGCCAGTAACTTATAGAAAATTGAAGGTCTGTGTGTGAGGCTGCACGTATGTGTGATTAGTGTTTTGTTTTTTGCTTTTAATTCTGAACTAAGTATAAAGCAACTTATGGAGTATACAAGGATCTGTATCTACTACAAATCTACAGTGTTGAGTAATAGAAAACACAAATTAACAATTTTTTCCTTATGTAAATTGCTACATGAAGCTGGGATGACAGCTCTACAATCGGACCATCTTCAATTTACAACTTCTGTGGTCTCAGATGGCTTCTCTAGCTCCCCTGTTCAGGTCAACCTGCTTCATAATAAACAGGAAGTAGAAAAGGAGAAGAGTTGGGCATGTTCTTTCCTTTCGAGGACACTTTCATAAGTTACTCTGTTAGTGGGGGGAAAAGTTTATTCTAAATAAAATGCCTTCTGGTTTTGCACTGTATATTATCTCCTTGATTTGAACATGGGCCATCAAAAATCAGGATTAAAGGTAATAGAGAGTAGTTAAGACTGACACCAATTATTTTGTAATATTAGACAGTTGCTTTAAATAACTTTGAAGATAAAAACTCAAATTTTAAGTATCCTAAAGATGCATGTGTAAAGTGATAATTGTAGAAAAGTATATTTACGCAAAGTATTAATACTTGGCTACATCTTTCAACAGGCATGTCATGTTACCCAGAGAACTTTCCAAACAAGTACCCAAAACTCATCTGATGTCTGAAGAGGAGTGGAGGAGACTTGGTGTCCAACAGAGTCTAGGCTGGGTTCATTACATGATTCATGAGCCAGGTAAGTTTTGCTATTTAGTAAAGCAATAACTGAATTAAAATGGTAGTGGTTTTGGTTATTTAATATCAAAATTCAATGGTATCCCAAAGTAACTGTTTTTGAATGACTGATTTTTTTTCCTCCCTAGAGAGGGTTCCAGTTTTATAGTAAATAAAATACCACACAAATGAAAATAATATTTTTCTACCTGCAAAAATAACCTGTCAAAAAATAAGCAATTGTTTTTAAAATTTGTCATTAATAGTATCTTAAAATATTTTACCATAAATATAATTTTGGTGTCCTCTCTTTGAAAACTAAACTTACTTTAAAACAATTTATATTTTAAACAATTTGTGTGTCTAGGTTTTATGTATAGAAATTTATGCAATTTGAAGTGATTTGTCTTCTTTAGCCCTCTATTAAAGGATTATTGGTATCTACCACATTAAGATTAACTTTAAAGATTTATAATGCTTTGAACAAAAGTTGAAGGCATACTGTAGAAGCTGCATTAGGTGGAACTAAAGCTATCGTTAAAGAAAAGCAGTAGTAACATCAAAAACTGACTCAACAACTTTCTTGAGGTTGAGGCATGTAATCATGTTAGAGTTCAAGAGGTTTTTCTTCAGATAATACAAAAGCAGCTGAGGAATTTAACTATAGATTCCAAGGCCCCCAGTTGCTGAAACAATCTATTGGGATGGGCCCTTGGGACCTACAGTTTTATAAGCTGGTGGGGTTTTTTTCTGTTTACTGTTGACAATGACTTTGAAGCAAAATTCATTTCAGATACCTCTCTAAGTAACATTGACCATAGATTTATTTTGGTTCAGTTGAGAATTCTTTGAATTTTGGTTGAGTGAAAATTAACCATGTTATTAAAATGATAAAACATTTTCTTTCCACAGAACCACATATTCTTCTCTTTAGACGACCTCTTCCAAAAGATCAACAAAAATGAAGTATATCTGGGGATCGTCAATTAAATCTTTTTCAAATTTAATGTATATGTGTATATAAGGTAGTATTCAGTGAATACTTGAAAAATGTACAAATTGTTCATCCATACCTGTGCATGAGCTGTATTCTTCACAGCAACAGAGCTCAGTTAAATGCAGCTGCAAGTAGGTTACTGTAAGGTGTTTAGGATAAAATTTCTTCTAGTTAGTTTTTCTTTTAATATAAGTGCCTATTTGACTTCACCTGTTACTTTTGTTAAATAAAGTTTGTATGTTGCAATTTATCACTGAAGTTGTTGAGGTTTATTTTAAGGTTAATTCACGAGTAGAGGTTTTTGGGTGATTCCAGTTTTACGATTTTGGTCCTGAGGAAATAAATTTTACAAAACGTTAAATTGGTTTAAAATAGCTTGGTGTGATGAGAGTATCATTTACTTCCCTTAGGAAGAAACCAAGAGCCCAGCGATAAGTTTAATAGAGCTAAAATAGGGATTTTTCGGCTCTATTATTTGGTTCCTAGAAAACTGTCTAGAATCCCCACCTGAACAGAAGGAAGCCCAATACTCTCTGGGCTGCTTCCACTTAGATCTAAGATGCCACATCTAGTGGCCTGGGGAAAACCACTTATCCCTTTTTCTCCACTTGCCAAGTGGGGATAATGTTTCCTATAAAATATCACAGCATTTTTAAGAGTTCAAAAGCACTTTAAAAAAACCCTTCATGTCATATGTACTTTGTGTCAAATTGCCTCTTTCGCTGCTAGGGAAATATTTTAAAATTAACACAGGCTATTTATGTTCATTGCTATGCTGGAGAAACCTTTTAAATGAACTGACAGTAAACATAAGACCCAAGTTTGGTGGTCCTCTGTCACTCTTTAGAAAGATGCCTTTAAAATGAGCACAATAAATCTGAAGCAATCTAGAACTTATTCCTGTCCCCCAAGGACCCATCAGCTAAAAGATCCGGGCTAGCAAGCCAACAGAAAGATGCCATGTATAAATTTTATTACGTTTAGGGTAGACCAGAGTATTGAAAAGGGAGGGAGCACAGTCCTCTCCTCTCCCCACCCCCTCCCCCACCTCCAGCATTGATTACTGCTGCCAGACCCTACAGACCCTAGGCCCTCCACTCTGGAGGTTTGGATGTGTTCAGAAGGAAACCTGAAGACGAGCTGACTGCATTCTTCCAGCTTGTAAGAACCTGGTAGTCACCCAACCTCTCTTGGGGGCAAGGGGCAGGAAACCTACAACTAACCTCCAGTTTAGGACTGTGAACCTAATCAATCCCTAACTGGTCGAACTGCCTACTGTCGGCAAGCCTTTAATTCTTGCACCTTCCTCCTACGCCCGGGTTCTTCCTGGTCTCCGTCTTAACCTCCCCACACCGCAGCTTCTTTCACCTCCGGATCCCCCCTGCGCCGCGTTCATATCTCACCCTAATTTCTGCTCTGTGGTTGGCTTTGTTCCACTCTGGAAAACCACACTACTTTTACAAATCTACCTTTACCAGCACCCTTCCTAACGGTCAATAGCTACTTGTTGAAAAGAACTGAGCAGTTTTAAAATTCTTTTCTGTGATTAAAGTTCCTGGAAGTTAAGACCAGTCTGAGTCTGTAGGTCTACAGGTATGCACTTTGCCTAAGTCCTCAACCTCCCGCACCCCCAACCCACTACAGGTACCCGCTACCTTGTGCGGAACCTACATCGAGTCTGGCCTACTCGCATCCCGGGCAGTGCTCGCTGCCTTTGCGGATACTTGGGAACAGGCGGAGTCGGCCGACGGCAGGCTGATTACTCCGCGGGCTCAGGGACTGAGTCATCCTGGTTGTCGCCACGCGCTTCCAACCGGAAGCAGGGCTGGCCGGGGCGCGTTTTTGTGACGCACTTCCTTGCGTCCGCTAGGAAGGCGGAAAAGCCAAGAGGTGGAGCGCCCGGTCCCTGTCCCACCAGCCTTCGGGGTGGCTGCTGGCCTCTCGGGCCGGGCCCCCTCCGAGCCGTGGGCCATGGCGTCGGAGGGGCCGCGGGAACCTGCAGGCGAGGTGAGGACTGCGACCTCGGGCGCCCCGGAGAGGTGGGAGCGACCGGTTTGGGGCGGCGCGGGGCGTCGGGGCAGGCGGCCGGTTCCTTAGCCCCAGGCGCGCCCACACTGCTCGCGGCTGACCTGGGTGAGGAATGGCGCCGTTGAGGTGAAAACGCCCGGTACTCTGTGCCGAGGCTGCGCAGATGCTCGGGTTTCCCGGCACTCGGGACCAGGAGCGTTTTGTCACAGTAGCCCGCCCAAGCGTTTTTTGAAGCAAGAGTCTCCGCTCAACGTGCGCAGCGTAACCGCTAGGTGGAGCCCGGACAATCGCATAAATCGGCTTTCAAAAGAAACACCGCGTTTATGAATTGTCCGTGAAAGTAAATCTGTCAATACGGATCTAAAAACCAAAATCATAATTTTTACTTTCAAATTACAAGGGCTCGTGCTGATAGATTTCCTAGCAAAGCTCCTTTTGCTTTTCAACAGAACAACTCTTAGTGGTTCTTGAGTGAAATGCAAATGATTTGTGTAACTTTCGAGAAATTAAATGGAAAAACTTCCGCAGTGTGTTTTGAATGCTACAGGTAAGCATTCCGTGGGTTATGTTTGACTTCCGACAGCCCCCTGGTGCTCAGTTATAACTGCAGCTGAGAGGTAAAATAACTGTATTCCGAGTTAAAGCTAAGGAAAGAAACTGTCAGTTGTGGTTTTAACTATATAATGTTTTCACTTTAATTAGTGTTCTTCTTTCTCACTTTTAATATTTGGTGGACAGCTTTTTGTCTAGTTAAAAAACGTTGGAAGAGAAATTTTTAACAAATGCTTGTCTTTACTAGGCAGAGGTATTTGAACAACAAGGCTTGGGTTAGCATTTCTGGGGCTGCTAAAACTGAGCAACTCTGAATTGTTTGTTTATGTTTGGTTGATCTCATAATGTATATAGCTTAAACTTCCTCTTTTCCTCAGGGCATCAAGTTGTCAGCAGATGTCAAACCATTTGTCCCCAAATTTGCTGGGCTCAGTGTAGCATGGTTAGAGTCTTCAGAAGCACCTGTGTTCCCTAGCTGTGCAACAACTTACTATCCCTCCTGTGTTCAGGAACTACCAGTGCCTGAGTATGTATTCTTTTAAAAGTCTTTTTGCTTTACTCGAGAACTTTGTTTCTTGCCTTTAATGGTGATTAGATTTTAAAATATGCTGCAGCTAACACATTAAATTTCTCAGAGCAACTAGAGAAGGTGCTCCTAAGCCAAGAAGGGTTTGAGCCGGTAACAACTTAAGTGTATCTTGCAGCAAAAACTCAAGCTTCAACTCTCCTTTTCTTTCTCTATACTCATTCAGTTATTTTGGGTAAGAAAGTATGGAGATTAACTACATTGCATCTATTAGTAAAAAAATGTAGTTTCAGGGTTCATTTGTGCATATAGTTTAAAACTGTCACATATCTAATGGGAGATGAAATGGCAAGAAAGGACAGGGAGGAAATGGGGCAGAGAAAAGCCCAAATAAACATCCTCTTCCAGTTCAGGGTTGGACATTTAAAAATATTGCCCAGAGAAGTAACAGGGGCTAGCAACCATGGCTATCTCTTTGTGTGGATGATTCTTTTGCTGGGTTTTGCTTTCAATCATTTTGCTTTATATATGTCCTATGGAAATGGTTTCTATAAATTTTGGTAATACATTCTTCTAAATTTGAGTCAAAAGGCTCATGTTATCCTTTAAATTTTCCTTCTCAAGGCCCATTTTTTAGGTGTTTACATGGTTTAGCTGAATTTAGAAAAATAAGTTAAACCTATTAGATAACTGTGTAGATAACTTGTAGATTTAAGGTATGAATCACCTTTAGGCTGTGTAAGAATCATATTTCAGACCAGTTTGGTGGGAGGAGGGCTGCCTGGATCCCTGAGAAGTCCTGGCCTGACTGAAGGGACCAGGTGAAAGATGTGTTTGGGAGACAGAGGAGTAAATTCCCATTGTTAAGGTGATGCCATTGGTCAATTAAAAGCCTACATAGTACAGCTGAAAAGATTAGGTTTGTTGGGTATGAAATAGGGAGCTTTTGAATTAACCCCTGGATCCTGGAAGGCTTTGACTGGGTTCCAGGCACTGGAAATAGAGAAGAAACTATATGAAGACCTGCTGCAAGACAAAAGGATTCCATGGTTGTCTATAAATAGGTTTTGGTGGGAAAGGAGCTATAGTGGTTTACAGTTGAATACATAGAAAGAATTGTGGGATTATTCATAAGAACACAAGTTGGAAGTGGGGCTGGTTTGGGGACCAGAAGTTAAATTTTGGACCTATATGTGCCCGAAGGGGAAAAAGTGAACTACTAAGTGGAAATGACATATAAGTTGGTCTTAGAGGGCTAGAGGTCTCGAAGGTACTGGATTGGAAGTGTATATGTGAAGTCCTGAGCAGAACGATGAGAGGTTTGGACTCAATGAGTCTGACAGGCAAGATAAGGAAAATGCAGAGGAGGCAATGCCATGGAATGCCTTTGGGAGGTGGGTGAGAACAAGGAGAGGGCAGGGCTTGCAAGTCCAGGCCAGTGGAGGAGCTTTTCAAGCGTTACCATAGAAGGGCCAGACTCCACAGATACCATTCAGAAGAGGCAGCCTTCTGAATGTGGCAGGAAGGTGGCCTTGGGATACTTGAGGATTGTCAGTAGAGATGGTACAAGAAGTGGAGTAGAGAGATCAGCGAGTATAGCACAAATACACGATGGAAATGAGATGCTGATATCAAAGGGCTGGTGCAGGATGAGGCAGTAGGTGTAAAGGAGGTTGTGGTACTGTAGTTAAGAGTCATGTGGGAGGTCTGTGGCAACTGGAGTTTTACAGATAAGCCATTTGAAGTCTCAGCAGGTGCTATGGGTTGTCTGTGAGATTCTGTATTGTGTGCTATCCTCTGCATGTAATTGTATTTGCTTTAGATGGAAAGGAAGAATATCAGCTTTTCAGAGGAAGAAGGACCAATGATGACATGTCCAAAGTGGAAAACTAGGTTGTGATAGAGCCAGGACCTAAACCAAGGTCTGCTGATTCACGGATGAATATTTTCTGGATAACAACAGCCTTTAAAACCACCACTGAATCTGCCCTTTTTCTTCTTTACCTAAATTTCATTGGTCTGTTCATTTACCCATGTTTTGGACTAAGGATAGTCTTTATTACTTGTTTTCAATCAACCAGTCTTCTTAGCCCATCTTCTCTTGTCTTCGAAGAACAATATTTCTCACCTTCATCCGACCCCCATTAGATTTTCTGAGCATCAGACAAAGCAAAATGGGGAGTCACATCGAGGGTTAGCATCTGGGGAATGGAATGTAACTTTGAGTCTCCCTCTTTACAAAGAGCAGCACTAGCCGCTGTTCAGTGGGGCAGAAAAAGGTCAGTAAAAGGGTTTTGTTTGGTTCTTAATTGAGAATATTTCATTACTAGAATAAATTGCTGATAAGTAAAAGATACTGTAAGATTGAACTTCTTATAAAATGTTCTGAATTAATAGGCAGTGATACTGGGCAGTCTGTGGTTAAGTACTGCATGGAAGCAAGAGCAGTGAACATCCTCACGAGTGTCTGAGGTCTTAGCCTGTAGAGAGTGACTCCTTTTCTCCTTCAATTCAAGCTCTTACTTGCAGTCAAGTAGAAATACAGCTTCTAATAAGGGTGGCTAGGCCTGCATCTCCTGACAGTTGGCAATTGGAAGGTCACATAGGATGTCTTTTTACTAGCTTTGGATTTTCCTGCTTTTTAATGGACTGACACACTTTGGGATTTCATTGATTTGCTACAGGAAAATTATCAGCCGTGGAAATTCACAAAAACAACTGCTGGTGCTTATTTGTGGGAATAAAAAGGTTGTGATTTGTATTTTAATGGAGCTCTTTAGCAGTTTATCTGTGTAACAGCTTTCATTGCAAAATGGTTGAATCCTCTGGCCGTATACCAGATTTGCTAAAAAGTCAGTATTAAATTGTATTTTGGTTTAGCCTAGTAGCTCAAGCAAATTGGAGCATTAGAGTGTTCACAGATGGTATCCATTTGGTCAGTAGAGTATATAGTTCCTGGGCCACTGTGCTTGCAGTATCCCCTTGCAGCTCTGGCGCTGCAAGTCAGCAGAGTACAGGATATGGTGGTGACCTTGGAAAGTGAAAGGGCTGCAGCAGGATGTCCGTGGACAACTGGAGGCCTTGGGAGGCTGGCCCTGCAGATTGTTGGGATGGAGGTTGGATTTGGGCAGTGGGGGCATCTGTAAAAGGCCCCTCTGTAGAGAGATTGGTCTGGATGGCCCTTTTGGCCAGAGTCACCGAGAGAGTTTTTCTCAAATATTTGACATCTTGAGAGTGAGTAGCTGCTGGGGCATCCTTGGGCCTTCTTAATGCTCGTTAAATAGGGTCCTGTCAGGGATGGTCTGGCTCAGCAGTGAAAAAATAGAACTAGGTCAGCATCAGTCTTTGCTGGTTAAGAAAGAATTGCTCAAAGATTTTATTTGGCTCTTAATTAGAGATATTTCAGTGTTGAATGAATGACCTCAAAAATAATAAAAGTTTAAATTTTTCTATTACAAAATATTAAGCTCCTTGGTTTTTGGTATGAAATCTATAATATTTACCCTCTTTATTTAGGCAAAAACTCTATCCTGAAGATATGGCCTTTGGAGCTTCAACATTTCCACCTCAGTATTTATCTTCCGAGATGGCTCTTCATCCATACACTTATTCTCCTTACACCCTGGAGTCTACACAAAATGTTTGCCCAGTGCCTGACTCCCAGTATGATTACAGCCAACCCAGTTGTTACCAGGGTTATCAGATGGTAAAGCCACAATATGAGCACATGTGCCCTCTCTCACAAGACACAAAAGCTCTGTTTAAGGTCAGTAAGTGCTGTGGTTTTGTTGGTCACTTTAGCATTTAAACTGTAAAGAACTGGTTGATTCTTGCATGATACATAAGCATCACTTATGTTTTCTGTGGTGTTTAAGAGTTGATTTGGTCTAAATTTTTTAAATGGTTGAATGTTGAATACTTACAAATTTGCAACTTTAATCCTTTTTTTGAAGTAGTGCAGTTGGCCCTTGAACAACATGAGTTTGAACTGCACAGATCCACTTATATGTGGATTTTTTTTTGATAAATGTATTGGAAAATTTTTGGAGATTTGTGACAATTTGAAAAAACTTACATCAAACCTATGATTTTCTTAATAGCATTTTCTATTCTCTTGCTCACTTTATTGTAAGACTACAGTATGTAATACATATATATAACATATAAAATATGTGTTAGTTGACTATATTATTGGTAAGGCTTCCAGTTAACAGTAGGCTATTAGTAGTTAAGTTTTTGGGGAGTCAAAAGTTACATGCAGATTATCTACTATGCAGGAACTCTGGTACCCCAACCCCCTCGCTGTTCAAGGGTCAACTGTAGTTTTCTTAATTTGTGTTACTTTTTAATCTTTCCTGCAGAAAAAATGTGGTGAACAAAAATTCGACAGTAAGAAGGCTGGTGGAACTATATCATCTGATATAAAGTCAGTAAAAGGTTCACATCATATGTCCATTCATGCTGACACTAATTTGAAATCAGGTAAAAATAACAAACTATAGTGTTACTACAATCTGTTTCACTCACTCCAGACTCGTCAGTGTTCTTTGAACAGCTGTTTCTGTGGGCTTGTTTATTGTGAAAAGCTGAGGCCACCAGATTTCTTGTGGGATCCTGTAGACCTTTCCTCCTGGGAGTGGCCACCTGTTGTGTGTGGGCTCTGTGATGTGCCCTTAACATATTATTACCTTATTTTACACAAGACGTTGTCTAAGGTCACAGAGCAAGTAGGTCACAACCACGCACTTCAAAACATGTCCTTAAATAAAAGCAAATCATAACTACAGCCATGTTCATTTCTGACACAGCTTCTCTGGTATTCTGTTGATACACTTCTTAATAGGTGGGACAGTTTGTCTATGATTTCAGTTGTCCTAAACTATACCAAACCTGGGGCTATATTGGAGGACACGGATTTTTTTTCATGCCAAAAGTCATGTCTGTTCTGGGCTTGTAAACTACCAGTCTGGTCTGTGGCTTAAAGTTAGTGATTCTACATGGTGTCTTTTTTTTTTTTTTCCCTATAGTTCATTTACAGATGCATGTGGTCACAGCCATTCCCTATTTATCTGATGACTAAATCTTTGTAATAGTTTACTTACTGGAAAAGGTTTATCATTTATTTACAAGTATAATTTATGTTACTTGGTATATAACTTTTCTCTTTGAGTTGACTTTACTTATAAACCAGCTGGTACATGGAAAGGTGAAAGGAAAGTTGAAAAGTTAGCTATATTAACTCTGGCCTTATAACTAAATACAGGATGGCTTTATGGCATTGCAGCGTACATCATCATTCATTTGCATTTGAAGGAGAATGATGGGAAGGAGGTTATAAGATCATTTCTACTTGCTTCCCTCCAGTTTGTTCCAGCAGACTAAAATAAGGAAAATTTCTTAAAGGAAATTTGTTAGCATCTCTTTAACTTGTAAAATTCTAAAATGTGTATTAAGTGTCATCAAAATGCACAGGCACACTGTCAGATTAAGGTAACTATTTCATCAACGTTAGAATTACTCCAAAAATTTGCAGTGTTTTGGTTTTTCTAGTTGGTGACCCAGCCAGAGAAATTGCAATATCTGGTCATATGTTTACACTGTTACACAGAAGGGTCACAACACTAGCAAAAGTTAGACTGTTTGGACAATAATGTGTTGTTGCATCAATAGCAATAGATTTTCAATTCTGCAATGTAAACATGCGTATTGATCATCAAACATCTAAATTTTTCCCCCCATTTTTAATTCTGTAAATATAGATGGTTACCATAAACGAGCAGACAAGAAACCCAGTATCATTGAAAAAAGTGGACCTGCCTCCAAACCTGAGTTTGAATTTACCGGGTTGGATTTTCCTGAACTGCAGGGTGCAGAGAACAGTGTGATGTTAGAGACACCAAAACAGCCAAAGTGGGGGCCTTTACGCTCAGCCTCTACCAACACTTCTCTTGTAAGAGAAGTAGTGAAACCCACTGTAGTGTTAACAGAGGTGAGTGCAGGCTCGTTCCCTTTGTTTCCCTCTCTCTTCTGTTGTGTGAACTGTTTACGGTGAGGCTGTGACAAGTTGTGCAGCTATTTTTTTTTTTTTCCCCCAAAGAATATACTTGTTTTTATCTGGTAGCTAAAAGGTACTGTAGTGGGTCAGGAGAAGATTCTAGCATGAGTCCAGCTGCTCAGACAACCTATTGGAAACATCTCACTTCAAGCATTATATTCTGACAGCATTTTTTTCAATACAGACAAAAATATTTTATTTAATCAAATAGTAATATTTAAAACTGCATAGTATAATTTCTGATTTTTTTCAGGCTTTTTATCTATACCTCTCTTGTTAATGATACAGCAAATTCAGTGAAAGTAATCATAGTAAGTGCATTCAGTTTGCCACTTAGTAATTTTAAGTTATGCTGTATTCACCATTTGATCTCAAAGTTTTAGTCCACCAAATTGAGGCATTTTCCTCTAAAACAGATTGATTTGAGACGTCTAAGAAAAAAAAACATTATCTGGTTACGAGTCCCTAAAATCACTCTGACAGATTTCTGCTAAAGGCAAGATGAGGCACATGCCAGTGTGAGGGTAAGGAGTGAAAAGAAACTATGAAGAAAACCCAGTTGCTTACCTCTTGAATGAAGAGAGGATTTCTGTTTCCTATTCTAGCCTTCATCTTAGGTGCCTGGACACTAAAGTCCGAAGGCTGGGTGGTAGTGGTTTACAGTATGCAGAAGATAAGCCATTCCCCATGCATTGATCCTTAGACTGTTAAACCATGGCATTTTCCTGTTACATGGCTGTGACAAGTAAGACTGATTGATGTAGAAGAATCATAGTCTCATTTGGCAGTTGTATGAACCGTCAGGGCCCCAGCAAGGTATGTGGAATAGCTGAGCAGTCGAGGGGTTCCATGATTTGGTCACGGGTAGGCAGTTGATAATTCCAAGCCCATGATCTCTGTACAGAAGTAGAACAGGTGGGGCAGGTGGAAACATGACAGATACTTTACGTCATGGTCATCTGTTAGAGGTGAGTACTGTATATGTGGACATGAACTAAGGTACATCATGCTATGAGGGGAGATTTACATATTCTTGAATTGTGTGTCTTTTTTTTTTTTTTTTTTTTTCATTTTTCCCTTTAAAGGAAACCTCTTTTTTTTTTTTCCTGATTGTACTAATAGTATCTTGGAACACCAAAAATATATTAAGAAGAAAAGAAAATATAATTGTCTCAAGTGGTATAGCCAAGAGAGAAAACCATGGTTAGCACTTAACTTTTTGTTAATGGTACACTGTGGGTATAAGTACGATGTTAATTGTACTTATAGGGGATAATACATATGTACAGGCTTGTGTCTGAAGTTTTAAAAACTTTTTCAGCATTTTTTTCAATGTCATTAAATACTCCTTTGAAAATGTAACTATTGCATTGGATCTTAGACATTGATATGTATAATTGACTTAACCATTTTTGAATAGGTAAGCCACTTATAGTGTTTCATTGGCCTTGGTGAGCATAAAAATTACAGTTACTAAAAGAACAAGCTGTTTTTTATAATTTTATTTTTTATTACTGGACTCAGATGTAATGAAATGGAAAATGGGTAATTTGTGAGGCATGTCAGCTTTAAAATTTATTTTTAAATCATTCAAATTTGAATTTACCAGTTTCCTTTTACCTTTCGTGCTGTCGATCACTTTGAGGTGTCTCTTAATGTACTCACCCACCTCGCAGTGTCCTTTGGGTCTCATGCTCCATGTGTACGGCAATTTTCTGTCTTTATAAAAGGGCACACGTATTACAAGGCTTATATTTGTTATCTTTGTGGATGTTTTCAAAGTCTTTTGGAAATTCGGTGTATGGGCTTGATAAATGATGCTTTCACATTTATATGGAGGCACTAGGGTTTTAAGAATGGTATTGGCACATCTGTGCTGATGTGAAAGTTGTCTGTGATATGTTGTTCTTTTAAAAGTTGCATGATATGTGTGGTGTGATCCCATTATTGGGATCTATATAAAAACGATACATAGATGTTTATTTCTTAGGCAGAGAAGTAGAGAGATGCTAGCTAAGCTGTAGACAGTGGGTGGTTTTTCTTCTAGGTAGAGATATTTGGTGGAGGGAAGTAATTTAACTTCTCATGTTATATACTTAGGTATTTGGAATTTTTAGCACAGATTTTGCAAATTTTAAAAATGACAAGGGAAACTATGTTTAAAAATTAAATGAATACTTTCAACTTGAAATAGTAAGAAAATATACTGGTTTGCTTTTTAGGGTGAAATAGTGGTGAAAAATAATAATCCAACTGACTCTGTAACTGATAATGCTGCTACCATTCCCTCTTCATGTACAAGAGGTAAGAGTGGCTACCGAATAATATTTTAAAAAATCAGTTGTGTATTTCCTAAGTTCATTTTTAGTCCAATGCAACTGAAATATTTTTGTCTTAAAGCCTTCTTAAGGCAGGTGAAGGGTTGTTGATAAACTGACATCATTGTTAGAAGATTGAAGTAAACGAGCTCTCACATGTGTGTTGAGGAGTGTGAGATAGCAAAGAATGATAAATGAAATGTTTGTCTAATTCAGTAATAATGTTTTCAACTCAGAAATTATTGCTTCCTTAAGTATTATTACCTGTACCAGAGGTTCTCAAAGTTTTTGGTCTTAGGACCCTTTAATACCCTTAAAAAGCCCCACAGAGCTTGTTTATTTGGATAACTGTCAGTATTTGCAATATTTGAAGTTAAAACTGAGAAATTTTTAAAATTATTATTAATTCACTTAAAAGTAACAATAATAAACCCATTACATGTTAACATAGCATTTTATGAAAAAAACTATTTTCCAAAATTAAACCAGTAAGGAAAGCAGCCGTGTTTGACATTTTTGCAACTCTTCGACGGCTCAGTGGATCTGTCTCGGTATTTGGCTATTTTACTGTCCTATATTATGCAGCCTCTGGGAAACATGACAGACAGTGAGAGTAGGGAAGGCAGATAGCACATTCCTACTATCAGAAAAACAGTTTTGACTTCAGAGACTCCTGAAAAGGTCCTGGGAGCCTCAGGCCACACTCTGAGAACTGTTAGTCTGTCCTGTCCTGGCCAAGAAGTAATATTCAGAGATAGTTCAATAGAGTCTGCTTTTGAAATTTTTATAAGTAACTTGCCTTAACAGAAGACATTTTTACAGAAATATTCCAAATTTATTCACAGGTGTGGTGTTTTTTTTTTTGCATTCTCGTGTTTAGTACAAAGATCTTCACTTTAGAGGCTACTCTAAGGATATGTAGTTCTGTGATGACAAAAATGTATCTCACTCTCTGGGATAGCTGCAGGCTGCTGACATGATCTGCCTCATAGCCTGATGGCTGTCCTTTTGTTTTGTCTGTATATAGTTTCATGGGCACCTAAGGAGTAGTGTGGCTGTGCTTGTGCCTGTGTTCTAAAAAGAAAGAAATTTCCAGTTATTGTGATAGCTGAAGTCTAGTGACCTTTGACTTCTGCTGTTAAAAGTACACATCGATGTTAGTAGGGCCAAAATTTGATCTTTAGCTCATAAATTTTGTGTGTGCACCATGTGGATGTAATTGTGGATTATTGTTTTTTAACCGAAACCACTGTTTGTCCACCCACACCCCCAAGTGAAAACCAGTTTCTAGGAAAATCGGTTAACCTTACAAGTTAATTCAGCATGCATGTTCCAAGGAGAAACAAGTTTAGTGAATAACTGTAGTTTCCAAAGAAATGTTTTGGACAACAGCCTAAATTTAATTATTCTCTGAGTAATTACCTCCTGTGATGCATGTTTGGAATTTCTAAGGAGTTTCTGTTTACCTTTGAGTCTGTTCCCCAAATGTCATTATCTCTGAGCAGAGTTATCCTGGACGCCAATGGGTTATGTTGTCCGGCAGACATTACCTACAGAACTGTCACAAGCCCCTAGAAATGTTACTTCTGTGATAAACCTAAAGACGGTTGCTTCATCGGCAGATCCTAAAAATGGTAGCATGTCAGCTTCTCAAGTTTTATCATCACATCTTTCTTACAACAGAGAGAAACCTGTTGTCCATCCTACTAAAAAGGTATGCATCACATTTGGATAATGTGAGTCTCCTGTACCACTGGATAGTTTTCTTTTTCTCAATTCTTGACTGAAAGTGTTTCATTCTGTATTGTGGGCAATAATCTTGGTTGTGCTTGGACCTTGGGGAAAAAAGAGGACTTCAGTCAAGGAATACAAGTGGTAGCTTTATACATTAATGAGGATGTACATTTTAGACCTATGGTCTTAAAATGTCTGTGGACCATTTTGAATTGTTTAAAGGAGAGATGTTGGCAGAAATTTATGCTCTGGTGTATAA